CTCATCAACAACGAGGAAAGCAAAATATAGAATGGACCAGAGGGAGGACGCACGTTCTCAGGCAAGCGCACAAGCTTGTTTAACGCGCCGACGTTCTGGTACAAGTGCGCGCACTTGGAGTCGGGATCTTCGGGGTCGTTCATGCACACGAGCCGGATGTCCTGCACGAGCGCATTCGGGTCGCAGCCCAGGATCTGCCAGTCCGCGGCCTTCGTGATGTCGGTGATAGCGTCGGCGGAGCCCCAGATTCTGAGGGTGCCGGACGCGGTGGCGTTCGTGGCGGGGAGGTCTGCATGCAGGAAAAGCGAGTGATGTATAGTGTCAGCGTTGGAAGAGAGCAGGATTGAGTAATATTGCGCACCGTAAGAACACTCTCCCGAGGTACATGGCACGGTCCAGTCGTTCGCGGCGTTGATTCCAGCGAGGAAAGGAATTAGGACAAGGAGTGAAGAAAGCATTTGGAATGAAAAAGATCGCTGGATAAAACAAGAAAAAAAAGAAGCTAAGAAAACGAGTCGTTCGACGACCGAAGAGGGATAAAAAAGAAGGGAAGAACGAAGGACCGGAACGGAAAAAGAACGAAGGAAGGACGGGAAAGGGAGAACGAAAAACGGAGAAGGAAAATGTGAATCACGACATTTGAGCTGGGTTTTAAGTATTGATGCTCAGTCCAGACACGCGTATCAGTGATAGGAGCGCGTGCCTGGCGTGTGCACTGAATTCAAATGTCAGTTTGTTCCGGCCCACGCGAGAATGAACCGACGGAAGAGCGGAAGCTTTGGATTAAATTCTCCGGCCAGCTTTGAGCGAGAAAGCTGGAGTTGCACAGACATCTCGACCCAAATTTGCTTCCGGAATCCGCATCCCAGTACAGCGATTGCTAAGCTCTCCGTGTAACTGTTACTCGCGTTGCTGTAGGCAGTCTGAATTGTGAAACAGTGCACCGAGTCTAGACTCACATCCATTGTTATTATTTACACCGATATCCAACCGATATCGAGACAGCGTCAGAGGATCATCGTGGCCGGCATGTAGTAGCCCCGGATGCTATGTTGTTGACCTGGCGAAATGCTCATTAGTTGGTGATTTCCCCCCTGAAGCCCGCTCTTGATACGAACTTCGGCACACCTCCAGGAATCTTATTTGAGCCTCGACAAGAGTCCAGAATCTGGGTTGAAACGCGTGGCATGGGATCTGCGAGGTCCCCCGAAGTCCAGTTCCACAGTTGCGCCGAGACCGAGGTGTGTAAGGTTAGAAAACAGGGGATCGGTGAATGTCGCATCAGTTTCGTCCTGAGATATGTGTCAAGTTACAGCCAACCGCTGTAGTGGGATGCACGACAGGAGGTCTGGGTTTCCATCCCGCCGTGACTTGCAAGAAGTGTGTTTTTAGCGCCTTCTCAGACAGAAGGTGGGGTCTGGTGTTGGTCCAGGGGGCGTCCGACGAACGCAGGGTGCGCACTCGTTCAATAAATTTCCGGTCTAGAGCGGGAAGGATGGCGTAAAGCGAATCGACCCCTACCAGAGGCATCTTGAAACCGCCGCCGGGAAAAGGTGGATCGATCCTGCGATGAGAGCGGTTAGTATGTACAAGGGAAATGCCACGAAGAACGTCTACCTCCAGGCTCCAAAATGGTCGTCGCAGTTGCTGATCAAGAGCACGATGCGGCGGTGCAACTGCATCGCCAATCACATGTGAACAGTGAACACCGAAGGCGCACAGAATAGCACCTTCAGCTGACTTGTACTCCACATCGATGCGCGCTGATAAAAAGGTAGCTATAGGTCCAGGTGGCACCTGCGAATAAACACCACAAAGCTGACGAATTCGAAGAAGACCAAGGTGCGAATCACAAACTTTATAACGCCGTGAATCATTCACCAGAAAAGAAAATCCAACAATAGATTATTGATAGGAAGCTAGGATACTACAAATAGTACGAGAAGACAAGCGAGGAGGGCATCAAGCTCACCACCACACAATTATACGACGATAATGTTTGCGAGATACAGGGATGCGGCGTATCGAGTAATGGACCGCGCCTGATACGCCCTTCGTGATCCTCGGAAAAACGGTAAATTTTGTTAGTAGCACCCAGCTCCATGAAATATCCCGAAGAACTGAATTGTCGGAGCCTCCGATGTGGCAAGGCATACCGTGATGTCGTCCGAATTGTTTGAAACTCGGGGAAAATCCTAAATTTCCAGGACAACACCCCTCCCTTCCGTGGAGGACCGTGCCGTTGGCACACACGCGGTCCCGATCTATAGGCAGTTATCTTGTACACCCCGGGTTGAAGTGCGCTTTCGTGGATCGACATTCCCAAAATGACATCGTTCATAGTGCGACGGCCATCAATGGTCAGTGTTTCCACGCTCATCGGCATGAGATGCTCCAGAGGAAGTCGTACTGGACAGGAGGCTAGATCGGAGACTGGGTGCCAGTCCCCCCCGAAATCGAAGGCAGCAATAGCATAGATGAAAAACTGCGGTTGAGTTTCACTCCAAGGGTTGATAATCAAGTATCCTGGGATGAGCCCGATGGAGGGTTGCTAGCAATAATGATGGTAGTGAGCCGACACGGATTCCATACAAAAAATTGATATACGTACAATAGGTGTGAAGCCAGTCAGGAGGACATACATGCCAACTCGCCAGTCGACGAGCAGGACATCGCATGTTGGGAGCAGATGAAGGACAACGAGACGACCAACGAGGCCCTCGTCCAGCAACGTGCCAGGAAGTGGTAGGGAAATGATCGCAAGACTGGTAGGTTTCCCGTCTTGCAGATCAATCTGAAGAATCTCCAAGGCCATCCTGTGCAGAGGTGCGTCAACAATGCATAAAATACATAAACAAAATCCCTGGCTCACCTATCCTCCGAGAGCGTAGCTAGGGTTAACTTCCCGGCATCTGTAACTGAGACAGCGGAAAATTCCATGGAAGTGGTTGTCGGCCGCCAAATGCGGCGCTTCGTCCCAACATCCCAAATCCCCATCGCCGAATGACGCACGATGGCAACATGGCGGCCACCATTCAGCAATTTTGCTCCACCGCCTTCAAAGTGTGCCCCCTGGACTCCCAGCGGTACCTCGATCTGGCAAGCGAGTTGCGGAGAATCGTCTTCCTCCCACGTACCTGGTCCAAGCACAACAGTTTTTACATGCTCGATGAGCTCTGGTACGGAGTACTGGGACGGGTTATACGACGGCGGAACCTCCATGAGCGAACGTTGCCGGATGTCGGTGATTAACGAGACCCAGAGCTGTTTTACACCCGCGATACTGCATAGATAGCGATTGACCTGCAAGCAAACCATTCAGGGCCGTTGAGCAGACCAACGGAGGAAAACCCCCCAACTTGAGATACGCGAAGAACTGTCGATACATCGGAGAGAAAGAGAATATGCAACAGGACATCCTGCGGGAGTTCGACTAGAAGAATGGTGGTGGGAGTCGACATCTGAGGTAGTTACGGCATTGTGGGCGTGCAAGTGCCAAGCCGTTCCGGCTACATGGCCCGAGATACCCGGTGATTGAACTGCCTTTCGAGGCGAGTCCAAATGATTCTCTGCGGCAGAACTTTATTTACCCTTGAACGTTGGACGAGGCCTCCGGTATACACGGTTGATTCCAACTAAAAACTAAGAACTCATCCGCTCAGGCTAGGATTTCGACGATTACCATGAGAACCTCGGCTGCAAATCTTTCTCTGCACGTCGCAACTTTCTTCGAGCGGTGAACAAAGCTCATGTATTAAGCACGTCCATATTTCCATTGGGCTCAGTTTCCAGGCTTATGTTTTTAATCGGAGCATTTAGGGTAATATGGTGCCCACCGTTGAACTCTGATGATCAAGTATTCCACTACCACTGTCGAAACCTATACCATAATTCATTTCTTGCAAGATCTTCAGATAAGAAATTATCGGGAGGCGTTCTTCTGGAATCTACATGTCCATGTTGCCGCCCGCGTTCTTGGGTGCGCTGGATAGGATGGCGTGGACGAGCTCAGAAACATCGTCGTTCCATCCAGCCGGCTCATGAAATAGGAGGAGCAGAACTTAAGTTCGAGGCGTTTCAACCGCAATTCGAACTTAATTTGATCAGAACTTAAGTTCCGGCTCCCTGCAGGGAGGGGCGCGCGTACTGGCCACCGCTCACCTTATACTTAAGTCCTCGGCACATCTTAAGCTCCTACATCTTAAGTTCCACATCTTAAGTTCTAAGATTTTAAGTAATAGTTCTGCATAGATCTTAAGTAGGAAGTGTGCTGTGACTATGGGTTGCGATGCGATCTGCTTGCTGCGGGCTGCAGGATTGGGACCATTGTTTTCGTAGAGGTAAGATGAGATATCGAGCTGCAATTTAGAAAGAAGAAGCTACGCCCACGCACGCAATAATTGATCCACGTAGCAGCACGGTTTGGGCAGCGAGATAAGCTGGATTGTGCTGGGCCTGAGTATTGAGTCATTATGGCAGTCATTGAATGGAGGCGCGCGATCGCGGTTCGATATGGGTATGAGCATCAGGAGCCAGGCGTTAGGTTCATTATACCACAAGGTGAGTGAAAACACGTCCCAGGAGCAAGTAAGCACAGAGAGCGCGATGTGAGGATAACGTGAGGGTTGTCTCATGATAATCCGAGACTTTGATCATTTAAGAGTGGTCTACAAGACTCTCTGCGTCCCAGCATCGAAGGGTAGAAAAGGAATCGACAGTAACAATACATCTGGAGTCCTGGTACTAGCCAATAGCAAGAGAATGGAAGTCGGGAACAAGCTGTGTTCGCAAATGATGCGGTCAAACCACACACAATCACATTCCGAGATCCTCCGCCTTCTTCCGCATTCCGCCGCAGTTTACATCCATCAGCCTCCCCGCGCGGCTGAAACCTGCCGTAAAGTTGACGACGCAGAGACACATTCATGCCCTTATAATTCATAATTTGTGCCAGGAGCGCGACTCGCCGTAGCTAGCAATCAAAAAGGGCCTCCTTCAGGTCTTGACTAGTATATCGGTTAGTACACGCGCTTGTCATTCTTGAGGTATGCGTTTGCGCGCGAAAGCTGGGTTCGACTCCCAGGTCGAGAGTTCTTTTTTGGGCATGCAGGACTGCGTACAAAAAAGGAAAACTGATTTCTATATGGCCACCAACAACTCGTGCATTGCGCCTCTGACAAGCGACCCGATTCAATGACATCAGCACAATTTTGTTCGGTGGCTTCAAGAGTTCCGTCACGGAAATTCGGCAAAGGCAATAAGGCGTTCGGACTCTCCGAATAAGTAAGTACACTGGATAGAAAAAGTTTCGTTTCAAGCCTTCACGTTCCGGCCCAAGCGAGCGTGATCTATTATCTTTCTCATTGTATATAAAGTCCATAGCCGCGCATTCTGGGCACCGACCCCTGCCTACAGGATGGTTTCGGATGAGCGCCTCGTTTTGTTTGCCAGTGGGGAACTTCAGTGAGGCATCCTGTAAGGAAAGACACCGAAGAAACAAGAACAGCACGGCAACAAGAAATTACACGGTTGTGCAACTTGAGTTTTGGGCCTCACTTGCGTGTGTCGCTGGATGAGGTGCGTGCTGAGGCGTTGGTAAAAATAGCTCAACAGGCAACTTCCTCGTAGGGTGAAATACCCGACAACGCGCAAGTCGGGACCCAAGATGACAACAAAAAAAAAGAGACTGGCGAAACACACCCCGACTTTGGAAGCGAAAACTGGCCGGCCCAGTCCCCAGGTGCGTAATGAACGGAAATATTCAGCAGCATGTGTAGAGGGAATCGTGAAAACACGTGTGCAGTCAGACCGGATCCTGATTCCGAGAGAAGAGTGTGCCCCTGCGAATCTATATAGAATGCAGCGATGAAGGAACTCAAACCATAAAAGTCAGGAACCCACCATCTGACACTGGACCATTGGTAATCATATCCATGTCAGCAACACATCTGCAGAGACGTCGAAAGAAATGCTAAGTACCCAGGGACAGGATGCTTGAACGAGCTCGTAAGGGTACTTACTTGCACAAATGTTTCGAGCAGAAATTTGCAGTAACAACAAGGATTCAACCAGTGGCAAAAGAGGAAAAAGTTAACAAAAAACACTCGCAACTCCAAGCAAGGACCGAACCCGAGTCGAACGGGAGAGGCTGCGTGGACGCAGTGGGCAGAGATCAACGGTAGGCAGCTGCGAGCCAGTTCGCCTTCGGTCCCATTCCCCTTGTAATCGGTGGATCGATGATTGGTACTTTCGAGCTGGTAGTACTTACATTGGAACTGCGGATGGTTGAGAGACTGAACACATAAAACCTTCCTGAAGTTTCTCGGGATCCGGACGGATTAGACTGCGTAGAGGCGGAAAGAGCTGGTAGGAGGGTTCATTGAGGATACGCGGACACGCAATGTACCCCGCTGCAGTCAGCGCAGTTCGAAAGTAATTCTAGTTACGAAGAATCTGAAAGCGAGGGACCGAGATTGAAACCCAGGAATAGAGCTCTCGGAGAAAATATAGCTGTACCAAATTAAAGTCACGGCTCAGTGGTGGATAGTTCACATCCCCTTCTAAGCAATTTGCAGCTGAAACTAACTGCGTCTTCAAATCACGCCTGAGACAGCGTCGATGCTAGAGAAATTGGATTTACAGTCAGGTACGAGTACGGATACGCTGAGATTGATACTACAAGAAACGGTACAAGAAAAGGGTGTATGTACAATGCGTGGAGTCGGTACAGTGTGTCGATTCGGTTTGGATTTGGGTTCGTGGGGCGCAGATTGGATTGGTGACCGCGAGATTGGCTTCAAGAAAAGGTTAAAGGTGGAAAGAAGAAACAAGACGCTGCTGGATGTCGATACACGGGACTTTGAGATTCGGGAGACGATGGTGGATTCGAAAATCGAGATTAGATCTTGGGAAGAGGAAGACGCGGATCGTGAAGTCGAGATGGGATTTACAGAGGCTGAGGAAGAGGATTCGGGGCCGAGACACAGGCGGGGCAGATGCTTGAAGACTTCACTGACGGACGAGCGGCGGAAGCGGAGACGATTCGGCACAGGCGATAGCATCGGGCCTCAGCGCTCAGCGCCCGCGCACAGTCGACCAGCCCTCATTGTGCGACCGGCCCTCACTCCCCGTCGCCGACCCCGACTCGTAGTCGTCATTCCACCCCTTCTTCTTCCACCCGCCGCCGCTGCCGCCACCATTCTTGTTGCTGTTGTTGCTCGTCTTATTCCGCGAACCTGTCGGATGATCGTACAGTATCAATGCAAGCCTGGCCCAGAAAAAAGAAGACGAAGGGGGAAAAAGGAACCCACCCTTACGCTCCGCATCCCTCTCTGCGCGCTCCTTGTCCCTCAGCATCTTCGCATATTCCTTGCAGATCCCCTTCTTGCAGATGATGCCGTGAACGCTGCATAGGAGCGAGTCGGCCGGCTTCTTGTTCTGCAACATGAATTAAGTTGGCATTGATAACAGAGTAAAGATCAGAGAACGGGCAATTACCATACGCGCGCTATCATCCTCGTCTTCCGCACCCCACAAGCTCTCGACAACCTCTTCCTTCTGCGCTTTGAAGCCGCCGCCTGTGTACGCACCTGAGTCAGCCCTTGCAAAGATTTTCGCCAGCAAGAAAGAAAGAATAGTGACCATAATCCCACAAATCCGTCGCCTCGGGCATCTTCTCCCAATCCGCCACATAGGCATTCGGGTCCGGCGACGTCTCGTCTTCACCATCGGCAGCCGCGTACAGCCGCTTTTCCTGGCTCAGCATCAGCACGAGGAACGAATTAAGATGAGATAGCAGACCTGGCTTGGCGAGAGCGAAATGCGCACAAAGTCGTTACGCAGGTCGGCGATCACGGGGAGCATCGCGCCGGCGCTGCTGGCGCTGCTGGCGGAGGTATGGGAGCTGGAGCCGGCACCGCCGCCGCGGACGAGACCAGGCGGGGCAGGGAACGGCGTGGAGTTTGCGTTGAGGGCGAGACCGAGGCCGGGAGGCACGGCGGGGACGACGTTGCTGCTCTTCGGGGCGGTCGCGGTGTGCCCTACGATGTGGGTCAGTTTCGGTGTCAACGCGGAGAAGACAAGAACGAGGGGGTACGCAACAGAACGGATACATTTGGACAGGAGAGGATGAAGAATAGGGTGAGAGCGAAGAGAAGATGTGTACGATGCAGGTAGATGCGCATCTCTCCCAAATGGAAAAAAAACATCAAAACAAGAAAACACACATACATGGCGCAGCAGACGTCGGAGGGATCGCCTTCACGGTCTTGCCGTTATTGTTCGAGGCGGCGTTATTCCTTGCGGCGGCAGTCGTCACAGCAGCACCGACGCGCGCCGCCCACTGCCCACGCAGCGCCGCGGGTGTGTTCGTCGAGGGTGCAGTTTTGGCGGAGGCCCAGGTCGCAGAGCCGGGGACTGCGAAGAATGGGTGAGTGTGAGTGTGATCTCGATTCCAGGACGTGGAAAGGGCACAGACGTAAGGAAAAGAGAGGTAATAGATGAGATGAATAAATAAAGGACAATGCATGCAGGCTCGCGCGTCCTTGCGAAGTTCCCACCAGAAAAGCAGGCCGCGAGCACTCCAACAAACGAACACGACACACACCCCAATGCCAACAACTCCACCGGTGAAAATAGAACGAATTTTTCCCAATGCAAAAGCAGAGTTGAAGAGAAAAAGAAGGACTCACCGATCGGCGCAGGACCCGCCTTCGGCGGCGGCGGAGGCTTGACGCTGACAGGGAGCGGGCGGCACATGGACTTGTTCGTGCGGTCCTCCGGCGGGGGCGGGCACCACGACGTGGTCGGGTAGGGGTTCTGGATGATACTAACGATGGGGAAGTTGTTAGCAATTTGAAGCGCTAGCTGGAGGGCGGGAAACGAGAGCTGAAATGATAGAGAAAACTTGCGCCGTCCCACTTGGCCCCCACGAGGAACGGCCTAACGAACGCGATCCACGCGTAACGCGAAGGATGATAAAGTGCAGAAGGATAATGAAATAAAAGAAAGAAGGAAGGAAACCGTTGAACGTATGCAAGGCCGACCCGTATCGTCCTCGCATTCTCGACACGAACACGGCCAAAAACGTAGGGAACGGCAAAGAAAGATGAAAAGAGAAGAGAAGAAGCAACTCACGGATTCACGGGTGACCAGTTCTTGAACCACGAGTCCGCGACGTTAATGCGTTTCCAGCCTGTGGAAAGAAGCCGTAAGTGACAGGAAGGTATGACAAGGATAAGACGATGGGAGGAACGGAATTCGCCGGGATAAAATGGGTGCAGGGCGCAATAACAAAGGCGAAGGTGACAACAAGCAAGAAAGGAAGGAAGGATAAACGCAGAAAGGAACAAAAGAACGCACCATCCTTTTGCGCCTGGCGCCCAGTGCTATACACGCAATAGAAGATCTGGCTGACCCGCCCAGCCTCCTCCTCAGTGGGCTTTTTGAGGAACTCGGACCAGCGGTGCTCGCCAAGGAGGCGCTCCGGGTGCGGATAGTTGCGATTGACCTCGATGAGCACCTGTCCGCGGGCCTGGAAAAAACTCGCTCAGTACGGATTCACGCGGACGACACGATTAAGGGAGAAACGGGAAGCGAGTTCATAGAGAGACGCGAGGAAAGTCAGGAAAATTGAGAGTAGTAGGGACGACTCAAGATCTCCACGCGATTTCGACAGGGCGAGGAGTCAGACTCACGCTTGGCTTGTAGAAAAGAGCAAAGAAAGGATCAGGGCCGATACATCCCGCGATCCAGCGTCCAAAGGTGATGTAGTCGTGTGGCAGCTCCCAGTTTGCGTTGAGCGGGTACGGCTGTACGACGGTGAAGTATTTGGGCTCGTCGTCGCCCGGTTCTGGCGTAGGGATTCGCTTGGGCATCGCTGAAGGGTGGCAAGAAAAGAAACTGCTGGGAGGGAATGTGGATTGTGGTGGTAGGAGACAAGAGGGTCGCGAAGTTTGGCGCTGTTTGGCGCCGTCTTCAATGATGTTCTCTGCCGAACTTGTCCCGAAGCTTGGACGGAATACTTACATATGGAGGCCTCGTCCTGAATATTGTCGTGAAAAGACACGTTTTATGCCCTACAAAATGATCTC